GGCCGCCATCTTGGCTGACAGGTAATTTGCATATACTCACTGATTAGCCAATGAAAAGGGTAGCGGTCGTACGCCAATTACCATGTTTCTCTTTTATTAGTGTAGATTAAAATATTACTGCCTATACAGAGTCATAAACTTCACTTTTTTGATTCAAGCCCAATACAAGTGAAGGGGAAACATCAATTTCCATGTATTTATGGTTTATAATTTATAAAATATCTATGAAAGTAATGACTGATTAATTTCTACCTAATTCTACTCACCATTAAATAGTCTATTCAATTAGTTACAATTATTGGAAGTTCAGTGTGTAAAAATACATTTAACATTATAAACCTTGGGAATAAATCTAAATATAACTAATCACTTTTCAAGTTCAAATAAAAGTCATTTTGAAGACAGAGGCCATTAGTAAATGAATAAAATTATTAAGTAAGCACAAGGTACAGATTTACTAAGCAAAGTCTCTTAGAAACAGTTTTATTTTTCAAATCATAATAACTCAATCATGAAAACTATGGCCATAACTAAGTACCAAATCACAAACTTGATTGGAAGTCTTCTCCAAATTTTTATTATCATCATATAAACTAAATAGAATACTTAGGATCAACACATATACAATATAAATACAAATTATAGTCTTCAGTATTAAAGAGGTGATCATAATTCAAGAAGTGAAATGATTTCACATCCTACTTCAGAGAAAGAGAAAAATATGCAAATTCTCTCAACTTCTTATTACTAAACCTACAAACTTAATGCTTTGATACTCATTCTTTTTTTTCTTCCTTTCACTTACAATGTCCACTCTACTCTCCTGCCTAACTCTACTCTACTGCCTTTGCTCTGGATCTTATAGCCAACTCACCACTTTCTCAAGGATATTATCTCTCCTCTCCTCTACTAAACAGTCTCGTCAGCACTTAAACATACTCAAGTCTCACCCATGTGTCCTACCTCCAGCCACCATCCAACCTCTTCTCCTTCATAATGAAACTACTTTAAAGAACTGTCTACACTTTGTGGCTCCACTTCTTTACCTCCCACTGCATAGGGCTTCCTCTCCCATCATTTCCCTACACTGCTTCTCTAAAGCCCTGGGGAACCTAATAACTAAATCCATCCAATGGACACTTTTCATTCTTTATTACATTTGTCCCTGAAGGGCATTTGCCTCTACTGACTACTCCCTCCTCTGGCACCTCTCTCTTCTTTTGGTTCTGTTTAACACCACATCCACCTGGTTTTACAGTAGGTCATAAAACTCATTCTAAGTCTCCCTTGCCAGATTTTTTTTCCTATGTACCATCCATGAAAGTTAAGGTTCTTCATGGTTTTGCCCTAAGTTTCTTTAAATCTATAACCTGAGGAACACAGATGCTCATATTTGTAAACCTTAGAATTATTTGTAAACTGTTATATGTACATGAAAGAACTCACTTTTTTTTTTTTTCTGGGAGAAAGTTCATAGTTTAATAGACTCACAAGTCTCTTCCCTCTCAAAATATACATCTGAAAGGCCATTTTCCCATATATTCCTCCCTGGTCTGTACCATTTTAATGACACCTAAATCTATAAACCCAAACCTTTGCTCTCTC